TTCGGCTTCATTTGCTCAACAACGTATTTGGCTTCATGAACAGCTTTATTTCAATCATCAGTCATCTTCGTTGGCCATTTACAATATTCTTGTACCCTTACAGATCAAGCAGGGTTCGTTGCCAGTGGAACGTATTCGACTGGCTCTACTCTCTGTGCTTGACCAGCATATGATTCTTCGAACATCTATTCGTTTCAATGAGACAAGTGGTCAGCTCGAGCAACAAGTGCAACCACTTAGCCACGATCTTTATTCATTCGAACATACTCTGGGCATAGATTCTGCAGAACAGCTAGAAGCAATGCTGACGGTTGAGTCAGTGACTAACCATTTTAATTTGACCCAAGGCAAAGTACTACGTTGCCATTTGATGCAAATTAGGAAAGATGGTGATGATGATATGCTTCATAAGGAAGATCTACTTGTTTTTTCAATTCACCACATTGCATTTGACATCGGTTCGATTCGACCATTTATCATGACTTTTGCTCAAGCATGCAGGGAAAATCAATTCAGTCATGCTATCAACAAGACGGCACAATACATTGACTTCGCACTCTATGAACAATCTCTACTCAAAGATCCGAGCAGCGATCGTGCTCGACATTTCTGGACAAAACTACTTCATGGCTACAATTGGAACAACACATTTCTACAGTCTGTTGCCTGTCCACAGGTACACAATGAGACACGCTCGGGACGAGGCTATTCGGCAGCATTTACCCTTAATCCACATATAGTCCAAGCACAGATGGATTTTGCTTCATCTCGCAACATAACTATGTTTCAGTTATGCCTTGCATGTTATTATCTATTCATGTATAAAGTGGGAGCCGGAGAGGACCTCTGTATCACAAGCGTGATAGATAATCGTCGCCTCTTCCAAAAAAACTCAATGGTTGGCATGTTTGTCAATTTGATACCCTATCGAATCCAAATTAACCCAAACGATTCATTTAGTCACTTTGTCTTACAAGTTCAAAGATTGTGCTTGTCCACTAGTGAACATAGTCATTTACCATATCAACACATGATTAATCTTCAAGATAACAAACAACATCTAATGCCTCAGGCATTTTTTTTATACGAATCACTCATGTCTTCCATCAAGTACAGCAGTACACTTGAATTCGCGGTGGACGATGAAAACGACACTATTTTGGTTTCTTACAACGATCGGGATCGGTCTCACGACAATGGTGTCGCTTTATTTGACTTTACACTAACCATGTCACATAGCCATCATGACAAAAATACTCATTGCTTTCTGGAATGTTCAGCCGATCTTTTCGACGGTCCCATGTTCCTACATAAGCTGGCCGATCGCTTTCAGCGCATGCTTGAACAACTATTTGTAGAACAAAATCTTGATCTTGCGACACATCCAATCAATCATCTGTCGGTGCTGCTTCCAACTGAAACTAACGAAATTCAATCAACCACATTCAAGCGACTGTCCTACACGAATGAAGGTATAAAAACTAATATATTCGAAACAAAACCATTAAATATGTATATATTGATACATTTAGGTCGTGCATCATTCGCTCAAGAACGAATATGGCTCGATGAACGCGTACGATTTGACCCTGACAAACCTCAAGTAGCCATCTACAATATGCCTTTTCTTTATCACATCGAATCTGGCATAATCTCAATTACAAGATTGCGGCAAGCTTTGCAGCTAGTTGTCATGAAGCATCAGGCATTGCGCACAGCACTCTTTTTTGACTCGGACAAAAAACAACTAATGCAACGTATTGTTGAACCAATCGAAAACGAAGAACTCTTTGCATTCTGTGATAGTGAATTCGGAATGGACGATGAACTTCTAACGAAGATAATGTATGATGAACGAGGCAATCCATTTCATTTTGATCTTACAAGTGGTCGTGTTTGTCGGTTACATGTTCTTCATCGAAATTCGAATCGTAACTTTTTACTGAAAGGCGATGCAATTATCTTCAATTTTCATCATGCCCTTTTCGATTTTCCTTCGATGCTCGTATTTCAACGTGATCTTGATCGTGCTTATAAGACTGGTCAATTAGAGTTGGATGATGAGAATGAACTTCGCTATCTAGACTGTAAATTACTCAATTTGTTCCTTCTTTCTCTAAATATATATCTCTATATTTAGATTCCATCACCGAAAGAGAAATGCCTATGTCAATGGCTAATGTTTTCTGGCTTGAAACTTTACGTGACTATGCCATTGATCGACCATTATCACTACCATTTGATCGATATCGTGTATCTAATGAACAACGAACAGGACGTGGGATATCGGTCTCATTCACTTTTGGTTCAGATATGTCAAGTGCTTTTCTTAAATATGCTATGATGAGCAATACAACATTTGAGCAATTATCATTGGCTTGTTACTATGCTTTCTTGTTCAAATTGACGAATGGAGAACGAGATCTTTGTGTTGGAATGAACATTCATGGAAGATATAGAAATGAATTGCATCCAATTATTGGAATGTTTGTCAATGCAATTCCATTGCGTCTTCGACATTTGAATCCACATGCTTCTTTTTCTCATCTTGTTGAACAGGTGCGTGAAATGTTAACACGCAATATAGAAATGTCATATTTTCCTCTACAACTTATTCTTGCTCAACATCCAAATACTGTGACAACACCTGCTTTTCTTGATACATCATTTGAATATACATCAACAGAACATAGTATTGATCAAGATCAAATATCGATTGGAGAAGTAATGTTAGCTGCTGTTCCATACTCAATACAAGTTGCAACTGACCAGATTGTAAGCAAATTCGACTTTTCACTTAGATTTCAATATGATAAAGCAACTGAACAGTTTTCCTATCAAATTGATGCTTCTTTGGATCTTTTTGATAAAAAGACTGTACAAACAATAGGTCAACGCTTTTATATCATTCTTCAGCAACTATTTTTACTTGATAACTTCGATATTACACATCAACCTATTTATGAATTATCATTGTTATTACCTGACGAAGTACGACATATTAAATCAATCAATAACATCACTCCACAAATGAATTTTGAATCTTTGGGATGTCTAAAATACGAGTTTATTCAACAAGCATTCACTCATCCACAAAAGATCTCTGTTTGCCTCGATGAACAATCATTAAGCTATGCAGAGTTATTTGCCCAAGTCTATAAAGTAGCTGCTTATCTGGGCAAGCGACAACATCCAAATGAAATAATTTGTCAATGTGTCGAGCGAAGCATAGAAATGATCATTGGTCAATTGGCAATTGTTGTCTCAGGTGCCTGCTACTGTGCATTATCACCTGATGATCCTCCTGCACGTCTAGCAGCTCTCGTAACACAAACAAAAGCCAACATTATTCTTGTTCATTCAGCGACAACAAATCTTTTCACTACTACTACGAGTACTAATCAACATGTCATCAACTTACATCATTGTCTTCTTGACAACATCAACAATAACGTTATAGACACTGATGACAATGCCCTTCTATGTCCAGTATCCGCTGATAATTTAGCTTAGTAAGACTTTGTTGTTCTCTATGCTTCTTTGTCTTATAGTTTTTCCTTGTTTTAGTATCATTTTTACGAGTGGCTCAACAGGAGAACCGAAAGCTGTAAGTATAGCTTCTGATTCATACCACATGAAACAACCTAGTATTCGGTGAACACTTGAAAATACATTTGATTTCATTGATTTTCTAGGTTCAAATCACTCATGGGAATCTTTCTGCATGTCTATCTTCATTCAAACATTTGGGAATATTAACAAATCAAGACAATGTTGTTCAAATGGCACAATGCTCTTTTGATATTCATAACCTAGAGTGTTTGGGCATGATGATGTTGGGTGGTACACTCATTCTTTTACGCCCTCATGGCAATATGGATTTCGAATATTTGTCAATGACTCTAGAGAAACATCAAGTTACCTTTTTCAGCGTTGTCCCGTCGTTCATGAATGCTTTACTAGACCATTTGGTGAACAACAATCGATGGTTACGTTTGTCTAGTGTTCGATCATTTGGCTTTCTTGGTATGTTCATTTTTTCATATGTATTCAATGATTAGACTATTGATTATTTAGGTGAAGCTATCATCGGCTCAGATGTGGCTACCATGAACAAACTTTTAGGTCAGAATAAAATCAAATTATATAATCTTTATGGTCCAGCAGAATGTACACTCGGCTGCATCTATCATTCTGTGAGCACTGAAGACATTCAAAATGGCATGATTCCTATCGGTGTTCTATTTCCTGGCATGCAGGCACAAATTCTTGATCAATATTTTCAACCAGTTCTAGTTGGTCAAGTAGGTGAACTGTTTTTAGATGGTGTACAACGTTTTCCTGGCTACTACGAACGACATGATCTCACTGAACAATCTCATTATGGATCATTC